CACCCCCTACCCACGGCCCCGCCATGGTGGCCCCACCCATCTCATGGCTCCCCGCCCCCCCCCTTGGTCCCTTCAGTCCTGTCAGCCAGGAGATGGGGGTATGTTTGTGGCCCAGCTTTGGGGTATCACTTGCCCCCTACTTTTGGCCGGCTGGGACTCAGTCCGCGTCACACCCCCCACTGCTGGGCTGGCTGCACTCTGGCGGTGAGCCCGGGAGAAAAGGCAGTGGTTTGGTGAGCACCCAGCCAGCCTCCATGGACCTTCTCGAGTTCCAGTGTCCCCTGAGGGGCGACCCGGGAAGGCCCCTTCCTGGTGGAGGGGCCTGTGCGCAGGGCCTTGGGAATCGGGGCAGCAGAGCTGGGGGTCAAGTGCAGAGGGAGACAGTGGGGCCCAGCGCGAGGGACAGTGGGCGCAAATGGCGGCAGAGGCCGCCGGCTGCACGGGGCCCTCAGGCGCCCGGGAGCCCCTGCGCCGAGGCTGGCGCTGCCCACACGCAGCCTCCGAGCCGGGGCAGCCCGCTCATGTGCCCCGGGCTGGCCGGTGGCCACGTTTGTGGGCATTTCCTCCCCCCGTGCCCGGACCTCAGCCCTCTCCCAGACACGTCCCTTCCGCTCCACGCACCAGCCCCCGGCTGGAGGCTGCATCACCCCGTCTCCGGACAAGGGAGCAGAAGCTCTGGCTTTTGGAGGGGGCTCCCCGGCCGTCCGGTGGGCAGCCGTGTGGCTGGAGAACCCTGGCCCAGTGGAGGCCGAGCGAGCGCAGCCGAGGGCAGGGGCGTGTGGTGGTGGCGACCTGTGCGCCTTCCGCAGCTGAAGTTGGTGGTTCACCACGTTCCACAGGCAGCCAGGGGCCCCGCCGAGAGGCAGCCTACGGGGGCCCCCCTTACCGCCCTGCAGGCTCACCCCACATGCCCTCGGGGCGCAGGGCCCATCTCCGACGCCCGTGCCAGGGCCAGCTCAGGCCTCCCTACGCGGAGCTCCAGGCGGCACGGTCTCCTCTCCAGCTCGCCTTAATTCTCATTCAGCTCCCTTTAATCTTTAATGCACAGTAGTAAAAGTAAATCATTCACCCGCGGGAGCGAGGTCGCCCCTCCGGAGCCGTTCCTGGCTGAGGGCGATCGCAGGTGCGGGCCTCGAGCAGCCGTCCTCCCGGGTGCGGTGGGGGGAGACGTGTTCCGGGCCTCAGGGCCCCGCGGAGGCCTGGCAGGGTGCGGGGGCCGGGGCTGGGGGCAGCCTGTGGGTCCCTCTCTGTCTCAGCCAGCTCCGCCGCCACAGAGGCCCCCCTCCCACACTGCTGAGGCCCCGAGGGCGGGGGCGGGGGGCCGAGGGCGATGGCCAGGAGCCCACCACCCAGGCTGTGCGCCGCCTCTTTGCCTTAAGGCCCTCGCTCAGAACGCCGCCGCCCCACCTCCCGGGCCCTGCCGCTGCCCCCAGCCTCTTGCTCGGACTCCCCCTCAGTAGACGGTGGAGTAGCCAAGCACGGTTCCGAACGCCTCGACTCGGGGACCCGCAGTTGGCGCGACGGGTCCGGACTTGCGGGAGTGGGCGGGTGTGCGGGAGCGGCTGTGTGTGTGGTGTGGCGGGGCGAGGGGGGACACGGAGGTACAGCTGCCGGAGACCCTAGATTGCTGTGCTGCTTCTGGCTCTGAGCTCCCTAACGGCCAAGAGGAAAAGGCCCGTTAGGTGGCTCTCACTGGTAGAGGGAGAGGTTGCCGCGTCGGTTGAGCACCGAGCGGCTTGCCGCCGCGGCATTGGAGAGGGGTCACCGCTTTGTCCCGGACAACCGGAAGTCACGGGGTTCTGCCCCGGGTGCGCCTGTGCCGCCGTCTCCCAGAGGCCCGCGGGCCGGCTGCGGGCGGGGGCGGGGGAAGGGCGACCGAGAGCCGGGGCCGCGGGGCCCCAGCTGTCATCCCGGGTCCCGAGTCCCAAGTCCCGCCTGTCTTTCTCTCCACTTGAGCCTCTTTGGCCTCATCCAAGGTGTGACGGAGCCCCTTGATTAATCCCCAGGCTGAGGCTTGCGGGAGTCAGACCTGACTGTGAAACGCGGGCTCCCCGAGATTTACGTGGCCCGGGCGGCGGCGCGCCCGCAGAGACGGGAGCGGCAGACACGCTGCAGCCGGAGGTGCGCTCGCCTCTCTGGTCCTCCCGGGCGCTCCTCCTGCACCGTTCTGGGGCTTTAACATTTTTTACCCAAAATTAGACGTTCGCGCCTGGAGTCTGCTTGGCCATCATGTTTTCTTACAGTCACCAGAGGCCGGGAAAGGGGGTTGGTGGAACGAGGCCGGGAGGGTGTCCTCGCGGGGGGGGGGGGGGGGGCGGAGCCCTGGGGGAAGGCAGGCCTCCCCTGCCAGGCCTGGGGCGCCCGTGCTAAGGAGCAAGCCTGCAGGTTGTGGGGTGGGCCCGCCGAGCGAGAGACCCACAGCTCACTCCTCACTGTCACAGACAAGAGATTTGCACGGGACCTTGGGCCCTGCTGACACTCCCGGGGTTCCTTCATCCGCTGCGGGAGCCTGGGGTCCCGCCCAGCTTCACCCCTCGCCCGCCCACACCTGGCCCTGCTCACCTGTGCACGGGCAGCGGGGCAGTGCTGGCCCGATGCAGTGGGGGCGGGGGAGGGGGCTGTGCCCGGGCTTGCTGGGGGGCTGGGAGCGGCCGGGTCGGGACAGCCCTTTCCGCTGCGCTCGCCCTGTCACTCCACGCCTTCTCCCGGGCTCTCGGGGTCTCGGAGACCTCCGGGCGAGACCTCCGGGGGAGACCTCCGGGTGAGGTGCGCGGGGTCGGGCAGCAGACGCCGAGGACCGCCCCTCAGGGGGAGCCGCCTCTGCTCGTGGGCAAGGACGGGCGGGGACGCAGCTCCTGCACGTGCTGCCAGGAGCCTGTCCGGGAAGAAGGGCTTCTCCGGCCCCGAGGGCCAGCCCGTCCTGTCCGCCACCCTTCTCCGAGCTCCCCCACCCCATGAAGCCCCTCCCCACCGCGGCCCCCTGGGCCCAAAGGCAGGCAGGCCCCAGGGCTTCCCGTCTCCTCCAGTCTGCCCCTCCTCCCCTCGCGGCCCCTTCTAGCAAGTCTCCGCCGGCCTGCCTGGGGCTGCGGCGTGGCCTGGGGGGGGGTCCTGGGCCAGCCAGCGAAGTGGAGGCCACGACTCCGGCCGTGCTAACCGTGCGGGGGGACTGGGGCTGGGGGTGGGGCCAGGAGATGGGTCGCACGCAGCCTCATTTAAGGGTTCGGGGAAGAGACTGATCGGCCCCTGCGAGATCTTCTCCACGAGGTTCTCTTGCATGAACGTTCTCCTCCATGAGAGCCTGCAGGACCCAGAGCCGGGAAGTGGCAGGTTGGTCCTGATGGTCCGTACCCCCCAGCCACAGGCCGAGTGAGGGCCCCGAGGGGGCGGGCACAGACTGGGGGTCTGGCCTGGGCACCGCAGGCCCGGAAGCCCACTCACCCCTTCACTCACTCACTCACCCGTTCACCCACTAACTCACTCACTCACTCACACGCTCACTCACTCATCCACTCACTCACACACTCACTCACTCACACACTCATCCACCCATTCACTCGCTCACACACTCACTCACACACTCACTCACACTCACCCCTTCACTCACTCACTCACCCACTCACTCACTCACCCCTTCACTCACCCGTTCACCCACTCACTCACTCACTCACACGCTCACTCACTCATCCACTCACTCACACACTCACTCACACACTCATCCACTCATTCACTCGCTCACACACTCACACACTCACACACTCACTCACACTCACTCACTCACTCACTCATTTACTCACTCACTCATTCACTCATTTATACACTCACTTGCTCGCTCACTCATTCCCTTACACGTCTGTTCATCCATGCAAAAACCTGACCCAGCATGAGAGTCAGGAGCCTGGCCTGGCTCCTGGAGATGCGGGCAGCCCAAAGCCCCTGGACCCCCCGGGAGCAGGGAGGCAGGTGGTTAACAGTTGAACAGGTGGGTCAACAGGACAGCGCCAGGGGAGGTGTTGAGGCTGCGGAGAAAGTGGAGGGAGAGGAAGGGGAGGGGCTTGTACAGGCCTGGAGCTCCGAGTGTCGGAGTGTCCGGGCCGCGTTCCTGCTGGGGGCCGGGGGGCCCCGCTTCCACCTCCCCAGCCCCAGCGGGCCGCACCCCAACCTGGCCGGGCTGCACCCCCACCCTGCCCCCCCTTCTCACGGCCAGCCCCTCTTTCCCACCTCCTCCTGCCCCCGCGGCCACGCGGCCTCTCTGACGCCCTCTCCTGCCCCTGCTCTCCCTCGCGAGGACCTCCGAGGTGACGCCAGGCCCGTCCGGACACTCTGGCTGTCGCTCCCTCCGCCAGACCCGTGGCGCTCCTGTTCCGCGCGAGGGGCTCCGCCTGGAGGGACGCGGCCCAGGCGGGCCGGCCGGGCCAGTCAGGGCTCATGTCTCTGATGGGAGCTCGTGCGGCTGTTGTCCACGTTCCCGCGGAGGTGTTGGCGTGCGGGACGCGCCGGGGCACAGTGCGAGTGGGGAACTCGGGCTGCGTCTCGGCCACCGCGGGCGGCCGTGACAACAGACAGGGGTGGGGGGACGCGGGACGGTCGCTGTGGGTGGCTGTGGGGGTGGGGCAGGGGTTATGCGGGGTTTTTAGGAAACTCCTTGCTTCTGTCAACCGTCCGAAGGGTTTACAATGTGCTGTAAAAGCTTACGATTTTGAAGACACGGGGAGAGGCTTGATCTGAAAAGGCTTTCCAGAAAAGTGGCTTCGAGGGGAATTCGGTGGGGGGTTGCCGGCCTACAGGCACACCCTGCCCCCCCCGTCACCGGCAGTGTGTGTGGCAGGGGCACATGTCTGTGCCCAGCACCCAGCCTGGCACAGGGGGGCGGGGCAGCCTTGGTGGATGAAGGGCTGAGGCAATGAACGGACGGACGGATGAAAAAACGAATGAACAGGTGGGTGTCGGGGAGGCCACCTCGGCAGTGCCCCGGACCGCCTCGCGCCCTGTGTCCTCTGCAGACGTGCTGGTGGACGGACAGCCGTGTGACTGCCAGGCGGCCGCCTGCCGGGTGGGCGACCCCATACGCCTGGAGGTGCGGCTGACCAACCGGAGCCCGCGCAGCGTCGGGCCCTTCGCCCTCACCGTGGTCCCCTACCAGGACCACCAGAACGGCGTGCACAACTACGACCTGCACGGCGCCATCTCCTTCGTGGGCTCCAGCACCTTCTACCTGGACGCGGTGCGTGGCGCTCCGGGGGCCCCTGCCCCGGCCCTCCGTGCTGGCCCTCTTCCGGACAGCCGCTTCCCTGCGCCCCGAGCCCTGGGGGTGAGCCCAGGGTGTGCGGGCAGCCCCGCAGGACGTTGGGGAGACACGGCGAGCGGAGGAGCCCGGGACGGCTGAGCTCCTGCTCGAGCCGCCATCGCACTGCCCCACGCACTCACCTCCTCCCTGCGTAGTGGCCACGGCAGGGGCCCCAGGGGGACCCATGAAGTCACAGGGCTCATCCGCCCCCACCTCCCAGCCCCCACGCACCCCCCACCACCTGAACCAGGAACGGCCCAGGGAGGGAGGTGCTGTGAGCTCGTCCCGGAGACAGAGGCTGAGTCTCAGAGGCGCAGCGACTGCCTGGGACAGTGCGGCAGGCGAGGCCTGGTGCCCGCCCGCCCCCGGGGCCCCAGGTCCACGCAGGCTCGGGGACTCCTGGCGGCGTTGGGGCCCCGCTGCTCCGAGCCGACGCCCCTTCCTCCCGCCCCGCAGGTGCAGCCTTCCAGCCAGTCGGCCTGCCTCGGGGCCCTCCTGTTCCTCGCCACTGGCGACTTCTTCCTGCGCATCCGGTTCCACGAGGACGGCACGAGCAGGGAGCTGCCGCCGTCCTGGTTCTGCCTGCCCAGCGTGCATGTGCGCGCCCTGGAGGGGCAGGCCTGAGCCGGAGGCTGGGCCCTGTGCGTGTTGGGGGGGTGGCCCGGCCCGGCCCCACACCCCAGCAGGGGCGAGCCTCTGCTGCAGCTCCTGTCCCGCCGCCGGCCCCCCAGCCCCAGCGCTCGGCACCCCTTCTCCTGCCCAGCGTCCTTTTTGGGCTCTGCGGGCGCCCAGGTGTGGCCGCCTTGCCCAGCCTGCACTGCCCGGTGGGGCTGCTTCTCCGCTGGGGCCTGATGCTGACCAGACCCCAGAGGGTGGCGCCCACCCAGCCCAGGCCCCAGGCCCCTGCCCCTGTTCCTGTTCCTGGGACCTGGGAGGACGGCCCAGCCCGGGTGGGCCTGTTCCAGGCCCTGGCTGCCCGAGTGTCTGTGACAAGGTCTGCAATAAAGGGCCTGGCTCCCTGCTGCTCTGCCTGCCTCCGTTCGCCTGCGCGCCTGGGCTCCGGGGCCGAGCCCCACCCAGGTGGGGGTTCTGTCCCGGGGGGGGGGGCATGGACAGAAACCCCCGTGACACGCACATGGCTGGTGGCCAGCAGGGCTGGGCCTGTGCCTGTCCCGAGACCCCACCGCCCCCCTTCCATGCGTGTGCTCCTTGGGCCTGGCCCCCGGCCTCTGGCTTCCTCTTCTCCCTGGTGACACTGGTCCCAGTCCCTCCGGGGCTCTGTGGGCCGGGCCCAGGCCTCTTGCTGTGGTTTTGCGGGCGGCACGCTGCCCCGAGGTGCCCGCTGGGAGGGGGGCAGGGGCAGGAGTCCAGCCCAGCCCGGTGCCTTGAGCTGCACGGAGCTGCCATTCGGGCCGTGGGGGCCACGCCCTCCACTTCCAGGCCTCCATCTCCGAAGGCCGCACCCTCCCTGCAGCCCTGTCCTAGCAGGCCACCTTCCCCTTGTCCCGGACGGGAGGAAGGCACGGGCCTCGGCCACCCCTGGCTGTCCGGCACAGGCTGGCCCGGGAAGGGCCTCGGCTCGAGGGTCTGACGGAGACCCTGCAGCAGGACTCTGGGTGCGAGCGGCCGGGCTGGGAGCGGGGCATCCCCGGGGCAGTGAGAGTGCCGTGCCGGGGTGGCCGCTGCTGTGAACTTGGCCCTGGTGTCCTCGGGGGACCTTGGGGCGGAGGGAGACGCCCCCTGTCCCCCAGGATAGAACCCCCACCTGAGGGGGGAGCAAGCTGGCCCGTGCATCCTCCACCCCCGGTCCCTCCCTGCACGTCAGACAGCAGACGCCAGCCTCGGGCCCCCGGACACCGACGTTCCCAGGAGCCGTAGGGGCAGGCGTAGGGAGGGGCCCGTCCCAGTGTTCGTCCCTGCCCCCGAACACAGAGCTCCTGTGTCTCTTGGAACTTCCTGCCAACAGGAGCGTCTCTTGTCGAAACAAGGTAGCTCTGGGTGGGCCGCTGGGTGGCGTCGGGTGGGGGGAACTGGTCCCCGGACGGACCCAGCGTGGTCAGAGGCTGGGAGCGGTCAGCCCCGCCCGTCCTCTGTGGATCGAGTTCAGGGCCGATCCCGTGGGGAGCCTTCCCCGCACGTCCCGGCCGCGGGCTGCGGAGAGCCCCCAGGTGGGCGAGCGTGCACCTGCCGGCAGCGCTGCGCCCGGGACCCTTCCGGACCTGCCCCGCGCTCCTCTCCGTCCCTTGTCACCTGTGTCCTTCGTCATCGCCCTTGAGGCCAACGGGGAAACGTAAGTGAAGCGTTTCTGAGTTCTCTGAGCCGTGGTCTCACGTTCAAACCTGGGGCGGCCGTGGGAACCCCGGCGGACAGCTGGCTGGTTAGAGGTGCGGGCGGCCCGGACTTGGCATGGGCACCCGAGGGGACGGCCGTCTGCGGGGGACTGAGCCTGGACCTGCGGGGTCTGTGCCGACTCGGGGTCGTCGGTGTGAGAGCCGAACTGAGGGGGGACACCCAGCGGGTGGGGAGGGGTGGGTGCCGTGCGCCGTGGGCGGGTGCCCGGCTGCCACGAGGTGTCCAGAGTGTGCTGTCACTGTCAGCAGCCGGTAGCTCAAGGCCGCAGGGGGAAAGCAGCACCAGGAGGTGGCAGGGTGGGGACCCGGGAAAAGCACCTGTGTGTCCCCAGACGGCCCAGGACTCGTGGTGGGAGATCTCCTTGCCGTGCCCGCTCCGCACACCTGTTACAGGAGAGTTGCCCCGATGGGTGGGGGCCCACGAGGGCCTCCTTGTCACTGGCTCGTGTCCAGAGACACCTTCAGGGAACCAGACAGCCCCCTGCCATTGCAGCTGAGCCCCGGGGCCCCTGCGCAGGGCAGGCAAACGGCGAGGAGAGGAGAGCAGTCAGGGCCCTGGGCGTTCTCCAGCCCAGCCTGACGGAGGAGCCCGTCCGGTTTACCTGAACGAGACCTAGTGCCCCGGTGCAGGCAGGTGGCCCGGTGCCTGCCCCGCCAGCCGAGAACGGTGGGAGCAGGTGGGCGGGGGCATCAGAGAGGTCTTCCTGGAGGAGATGGCAGGGGGTGGGGGCTGGGTGGTGAGGTGACGGGAGGGGGAAGAAGCCTCCAGGAGTGTGGGCGGGCTGAGCGAAGACCTGGAGACAGGACAGTGGGCTCCTGAGCCCCGGGGACACAGGTGGCCCCCCCCAGTTCCCTCCAGGCCTGTGCTCTGCTGGAACGGGGCCAGCGAGGCGATGATGGGCTTGTGGGGGCACAGAGGAGGGGCCTGGCTTTGTTTGGGGTCCCAGAGCTTCCCAGAGGGCGTGACGGGGGACTGGGCCTTCCTGGATCCACCGGGGGGGGGGGCAGCTGGGGGAAGGGTGTTCAGGAAGAAGGAGCAGCAAAGGCCTGGAGGCTTGGGACGTTCCAAAGGGGAGACGCTTGTGCACAATGACTGTGACGGGGCGTCCGTGGCCCTGGGCCCCGAGGAGGGCAGAGGCTGCGCAGGAGGTGGGCCGGGAGGCCCCTGGCCAGGGGCGTGGCTGCTGCCCGCCTGCCACCTCGTGTCCTGGCACCCAGCCCGCAGCGACAGGTGTGCTCCAGCTGCACCGGCCTGCTCTCTCGTCACTAAGCCTGAGGTCACCTCGGGGCCTGGACTCTCGGCTCTGCCCACCGGCCTCACGTGGCTCCTCACGTTCAGCGTCAGCTCCCCTGGGGCCTTTCCCGGCCAGCCCTCCGGGGGCAGACGGCCGGATCCGGAACGACGTGTCTGCAGCTGCAGCGTGAGCACCTGGGAAGGCGGCTGGCAGGAGAGGGCCCTGGGCAGGGCTGGCCGAGAGCCACTCTCAGCCGGGGGGGGGGGTCCCCAGGGAGCGGGCCCTGCAGACGGCGGGGAGCCCGCGTCCTTGAGCCCCGCTGTGCCGTATGGCCGTGTGACCTTGGCAGCATTGCTGTGCCTGCCTGGGCCTCTGCGTCCTGCTCTATAAAGTGGGGTCCCCCCATTTCAGCCCCCAAGGCCACTGCCATAGGAGCAGGAGAGACGGTCCTTTCTTGAGGGCCTTCCGGCCCCACGGTGCTCTGGACAGCCCAGGTGCGGCCCTGCGGGGCAGGTGGGACCTTTGCCGAGACACCTGCTCCCGGGCCCTTGGCCTTGGCCACCGCCCACTAACGCGGCTCTGTGCCCGGAAAGACTCAGCCGCGCCAGTGCGGCGGGCTGCTCCCTGTTTCCTGCTCCCCTGCGCCTGCGGACCCCACTGCAGCTCCGAACTGCCCACCGGCAGGCCTGGCTCCGTGCGCCTCCTGCACGTCGTCGGGGGCCGGGGTCACTAACAGTCAGTCGCTCCTCTGGGCCGGCCACGTCCGGGAGCCCGCTGGAATCCGCAGTCCTGCGGCTGGTGCACCCGTCCCCTGAACCCCCCCTCCCCCGCTGCCAGAAATAGACCGTCCTCTTTGCTTCCCCGGCCGAGCCCGCTGGCTTTGCCCTCCTAACATTCCTTCCCTTTGGGCGGGACAGGCCTGCAGTGGCCCCGCAGTCACCGGCCGTCACGCTCTGTCACCCCGAGTTCACGCAGCGGAGCACGGACCCAGGAAGCGGTCTGCGCAGCGGAACCCCAGCCCAGCCGCCGGCCAGCCCCGAGGCCCCGGCCCCGTCGCACACAGGAAGCCCTGTTGTGTCCCTCGGACCGGCGGAGCCAGAAATACTCACCGCACGGGCGCCCTCACGGCAGTGATGCGGTTCGACCTCCTCATCGTTCCCACGCTCGGTGCAAGTCCTCGGTGATGCGGCTCCCTCTCCACCCTCCGGGGGTGTGGGCCTCGCTGTTCTCCCGGCTCGTGCCCAAGCCCCACTCCCCACGGGGGGCTCACCACGGGCATCGCCGTCCCCCGTTAGGCCTGCACACGCAGGCCGCTGGACCCGGTGACATGGAGGAACGCGACGCGGGTCCTGCCGCACAGTGGCTGCGGCGGGAGGGGGGCCTATCGCAGGTGGGTGAGGTCACGCTGAGCGAGCTCTTCGTCTCCAAGCCCGGCTGGGCTCGGGGACGGTTTCCAAAGACACCGGCACCAGACGGGGACCAGCTCAGAAGCCGCCGTCCTCGCCGTGTCTCCAGGCCGGCCTGGTGCCAGCGAGCGGAGAACAGGCAGACGTGCATGGGGTCGCCAGGCTCCCGGGCCCTGAGCCGCGTCTTCAGGGACTGAGGCAAAGAACAGAGACCCAGCGAAGGTGTCGACGTGAAGGGCGGGGGCGCACAGTAGGCCTCCCACTGAAGCCGACTAACGGTGACGCACTTACACTGAAAACACACCGTGAGTGAGGAGGGGGCCGACGCCAGGGCCCGCCTTGTGGGGAAGCTTAGGGGAGGCTGCACCCATTAATTTAGGGGCCCAAAGGATTGCACCTTGTGCACAGGGCGAACTGGAAACACCCCTCCCCCACTCAGAGAGTGTGTCAATGCTTTGATTGCGACCCAGGGTGGCCCTCCCACGAATCCGCCGTCCCGAGGCTCACTCCCCGAGGCCGCCCTGAACCTGGAGTCACCCACCACCTCGAGCCTGGTCCCAGGCGGGCAGCACCCCCACCCCCAACGCCAGACGTCTTACAGGAGTAAACACATCCTTTCTGGAGGAAGCCACTTTTGTCCCCGATCCCCAAGGGCTTCTGCAGGGAAAATGAATAATTCAGAGTTTGGAAAGAAAGTCATCAAACACCCCGGAAACCACGCATCATGTGTGAGTGCTGGAACGAACAGGAACAGCACAGCCGGGCTTGAAAAAGAATCTGGTATTGGCTTTATCAAACAGACTGTAAAATAAGTGTGCTTAATATGTCACAAAAAATGAAAAAGAAGATTAAAATGGGTAAGGATCCAGAACATCACAAAATAATCAAATGCGGCTCCTGTAGCTGTACGACGGGACTGAAATCACTTAATGAACGGGTTGAAGAGCTGATTAAACCCAGCGCGAGCGTGAACGAGCGAGGGGAAGACGGAGCTGACAGCATGATAAAGAAGCGTAGCCCAGGAAGCCCA